GTTGCAGTTATGTCAAATATCAATGACTTGGGTTTAATTGGTTATGAAGCTATAACGTATTATAAGAGGTATTGTATCTGCTGGACAAAATTTGACAATGCTTTAACATTACAAATGTATTTTCAGGATCAGCTCACTGCTTCCACTTCATGCATCAGTGGTTGTCACCACAAAGCGGCCTTACAATTTGCATGTCAGCAAACTTTAGGGGGCAGATTATATATATTAAAAAAATACTTTTATTCAGCAAGGATGCATTCAATTGTTTCAAAGTGACAGCTAAGACATCTATACATTTCAGTTGATTTCTATTTAAAATAAATGAGCTTTCTATACATCAAAGAATCCTGAAAGAATCGTTTCACAGTTTCCACAAAAATATGAAGCAGCACAACTGTTTTCAACATCGATAATAATAATTCTTGAGTAGCAAATCAGCATATTAGAATGATTTCTGAAGATCACGTGACACTGAAGACTGGAGTAATGATGCTGAAAATTCAGCTTTGATCACAGAAATAAATTACATTTTACAATATATTACCATAGAAAACATAATATTTCACTGTTTTTACTGTATTTTTGCTAAAAAAAAAATGCAGCCTTGGTGAGTAGAAGAAACTTTAAAACATTTAAAAAATCTTAATGACTTCAAATGTTTGAATGGTAGAGTATATTTATAATTTAGATTTAGGTTTTATTGGAATTTAATCAATTAGGCCTTACTTATATGGCCCTATATATATTAAATATACTATTAAAAGAATTCAGATTTAAGCCTAATCTGAAATATTTAAAAGAAAATGTCAATATTGAGACATTTGGCTAGAAATTAAAGGCAGGGTAAGTGACTTGATTCAAAAACATTTAAAAACATTATGCTGGGCGAAAGTCTCTTCAAGTCTCATCCTGATAGCAATTATCACTAAATGTATTTATATGTATTTATGTCGTCTGTGGAAGGCGTAGGACCATAAAATGTTTGTCCAAACATATTCTTCGGTCCGAGGGCTACGATAGGCTGTCCTACCTGCCTGTCAGTGTATATATTTGCATACATCATCAGCGAGTTCCGTTACTCTATTGCAGAGCGAGCGAGAATGGAAGGCGTTATTATTGTCATATTATGCGCTTTGTACTGTAATGTTTTGAGACATGAGGTAATCTGACAGCGTTGCATTCAAATCTCCACCAATGCCGTCTCTCATCGTGTTGCTGGTTAGCCTCTGCTCTGCCTGTGTTTTGGAGGAGGCGTGGCTTTGGAGAGTGATTTGCAGGGAGGGTGAGATCTTATGCTTTCAAAGCTAGCGTGCTAGTGCTAGCCTCTCCGAAATCACCTACCCTACTTTTAATAATATATACACAGAAATAGCATTTAGCTGTATGGTTATTAGTGCTATTCCACGTATTACAAAAACGATTACCACAGAATACAAAACAAAAATAAATCAACTACTGCCAATTAAAAAAACAAGAGCACAGAAGACAGGAACGCAGACAGATAGATAGATAGACATCAGTGTTTTTCCTGTTTTGTTTTGTTTTTGCCGCATACTGTAATTGCAGTGTGTGAATCAGTTTAGAAAATGTTGGTGTATTGGGGCAATTTTTGGCAATTTGCCGGGTTGAAAAGTTTAGCATTATCACTGAATTACTGAACAAAGCTGTGTAATTGCCGGTGTTGTGCCCAATTTTGACCCCCTGCCAAATTATTACCCCCCTCGTTCTTGTCGCTACCTGATTGCCTAATCCTAACCCCACCCCCAAACCTACCAATACTAAGGGGTAATAATCTGGCGGGGGGTTAGAATTGGGCACAACACCGGTATGTGCACGAACAAGGTCAAAAGAAGTCTGCTTTGGACTAATTATGAAGTTCAGGCGGAAATGACGCAATTACTCCGCATACTAATAGGGATGACGCTTTTTTTTTTGTAGGTTAATCTGGAAGTTAGCATCACCCTGGTTCCCTCGACAAAAACCCAACAGGATTTTTATATTGGCTTTTTATTGCAGAAAATAACCAACGACCAAAAGTTTATATTCTTACATGATGATATTCTTCACCAAAAAACAAAACAAAACAAAAAACTATTTTTATGAATTTTGATGTTTACTGCCCTCTAAGAAATAGCCCAATTAAACAAAACAAACAAACAAAAAAACACATTGACTTAAGTACAAGAGAACCCACTCCTACAACTATTGCTATTAGCAGATCTTTACTAAATATACCCTAAAAGAGAGGAGGCTCTAGAACACTTTTTACTTTGCAGTTCAGGACTTTTCAGGACAGTTTGGAAATATTTTTTCTTTTTACAATTAAGTTCCACTAATAAAACATTATCTACAATAACAGTGATCTATAATCCCTACATTTGCCCAGTGAAAGTGATGGGAAATGGCGAGCAGAGGAGAAGGCATGGTGCCGGTGAAGGTAAGGTAGTCCCATGTGTTCTCTAGCTCATGGTTTGTGCAAGCCCAGCAGAACAGAGCCTTATTCCAGTTCTTGCTAAGCAAGGACACAGCGTCACAGTATTTGGGGTTCAACGGACCCAAAAACGCTGAAGCTTGGGTGTAGTAACCCATAATGCCCTTCAAGGCCACGGAGGTTTGGCAGTCTTCATCCACAATGACATAGTTGAAAGTGGTACCCAGCGACAGTGAGGGGTCTCGGTTGACCCTCTCCACTGCTAACTGAGCTGCAAGTCTGGGCATGGCCTTTGCAAAAGCGGGGTTGTAAGACCAAGGACCTACCACCCTGACCCTGAAGACAGAGGCCCTAGACATGCATGGCAGACTGAGGGTGAGCAGAAGAAACCAGAGGAGCCAGGATCCATGTGGCAAACTAGGTGTTTTAGGCTCCTTAGCACAAGGTTGTCATCATGCCATTGGCCAATTGCACACACGGTGGATGAAAGTGGCATTTGCTGTTCCACCATTTGAAGAATCGAAGTGACGTTACCCTTGTTCAGTTGTCCTGTGGAATAGAGCCAAGTGCGCGCTCACTGGATTTATTCTAAAGATCACATTATTTCTAGTCCCATTAGAGAATATTGGACAAAATCTTCAGTTCAGCTTCATTTCAGCTTAAACCTCAAAATCACCTGTGATACAAGATGATGGTTTAACAAGTAACACTTTCCCAACTTAAAAAAAAAAAGAAACTGTTTGCATTAGGAGTTGGAAAGGTGCTTGAATGAAAGTGCATTCAAAAGCTATATGGTATGTTTCTGAGGGGACAACAAAGGCCAATGAATGAAAAGACATGGCAACACTTTACAGTAAGGTCCCATTAGTTAATGCATTAACTAACATTAAATAATACATTTGTTACAGTATTTTGCAATCTTTGTTTATGTTATTTTGTTCATGTTAGTTAATCAAAATGCAACTGTTCATTGTTAGCTGATTTTAGCTAAGGTCCATTTAATACTTTAAACGTTTGATTTTAATAATGCAATAGTAAATGTTGAAATCAACATTAAGATTAAGAAATGCATTAGAAGTATTTTACATCTTTAGTTTATGTTAACTAATGTAGTTAACTAATGTTAACAAATGGAACCTTATTGTAAAGTGTTATCAAATATACCACTTCATATAATTTGCAGTGCTTCTCTATGAGTGTATATGTGTATGGTCTCATATAGTACATTCAACTGTATGTGTCTATTGTTATTAATACATTCAGCTGTATGTCTGTCTATATACTGAGGTTAAGAGCACAGCATTTTGTGACATCGTTATGCAAGCAGCATCTTTTGTTCAGCATGGGTTGCCTAACAGAAGTACCAAGTTACAATATCAACTAGTGCTGGCAAATCAATTAATCGCGATTAATCGCATCGGTCACACTTTATTTTAAGGTCCAATTCTCCCTGTTAACAAACCATTAACTGTGACTTTCGCCTCAATAAAGTCCTAATTTGCTGCTTATTAATAGTTGTTAAGTTTAGGTATTGGGTAGATGTAGAATATTAATAAACAGCCAATATGTTATAGGCATGCTAATAAGCAACTAGTTAATAGTGAGAATTGGTCCCTAAACTAAAATGTTACAATCGCATCCAAAATAAAAGTTTGTCTTGTGATATGTGTGTGTGTACTGTGTATATTTATATGTATATATAAATACACACACATACTGTACATGTATATATTTAAGACATATTTACATGTATTTATATATTCATTTTTATATATGATTTATGTTATATATAAATATAAATATATATTGCATATATTTCTTAAATATATACATGTATGTGTGTGTATTTATAAATACATATAAATATACACAGTGCACACACATATATTATGGAAAGACAAACTTTTATTTTGGATGCGATTAATCGCGATTCACTAATATCAACATAACATCATTATGAATTAAAACGTAATTGATTGCTTGAGCAGAACTTCATAATGCAATATCAAATGCTTGCATGCTATATACGGTATTATTACTAGTTTAGTAAACTTACCATATATCAAATGCGAACGTTGTAATAGGAGAAATGTTTAAACTGCATTGCTTCCCCATAATGCAGCAAAAGTCCAATTTTCAAGCAGTAATCTATTTATGATAATAATAATAAAGCTACAAGAGAAAGTTCATGTTTTTTCTCACAAATAAGGAAAAAGAACCAAGTGCTGATACAAGTCTTTGTTTCTCACAGGTTGACGCATAAATAATCCCTTCAAAGTCAAGCTGCAGCAGGTGTGTGGTGGCATTGCAGATTTACGTATATGCAACCTGAAGATTATATTAATTCATATGGAATTATTCGTTGCCAGCTCTTCCTCACACATCCCACATATCTAATGGTACTTTGATATATAGAGATACATGATAAACTATATGCATAAATAATAAAAATGCCTTTCTGTGAACATAAAACAAATGAAATGCATGCAAAGGGTGAATATACTGTAGAATGTTCTGAGAAACTCAAAAATAATCAAGAGTCACTTCTGAAAAGTAATTTAATATACTGAACATGTGCAAATCTACAGCAGAACATCTTTAAAACAGTCATTGATATACAATAGTCTGCTATTTTTATGGAAGGCAGGAAGTCCAAACACAACAAATTATTTATGTTTTAATATTCAGTAACAATGTGACTACAACTGTAATATTTTCTCAGGATAGCATCTCAACTCTTAAAACATTTACATTTACATTAACACATAAAGCTGTATTTGAATTTACAAATGAGAATCATTCTGTTATCATTCACAACAACATCCGTGTTTCAGGAAGATATACGTTTTAACTTCTTAAAGCTCTACTTTAGATCTTATTCAAAACAAAAAAGCGAATATTTACAAGCCAATTTCTTGATACTTCGATATTATTTCAGAAATTTTAACAAGGCATTTGTCACAAAGTAGTTTAGATATAAAACATGACTGCGAACAAAGAGATGCTTTATGGACCATGTGACTGTTCATAGCTATTTTTGCAGTGGGTCATGTTTGCTGCAATGGTAGCTGTGGGCTTGGAGCTTCTGAGGAGCTCTGTGGCTGAGATTCGTTCACTGCAACTACCCTTGGCACTTCTTGTCCTTCTCAGAAAAGCCATGAAGTTGTCATTTTGAGAACTGATTTTGGAAGCTCCACTGCCAAGTGTCTGAGTGCCAGGGTCACCCTGCTTATTTTCGAAGGAGTCTTTACGACCCAGGAGCTTTCTTTTAGACCTGCAAAATGGGAAAACAATATGAAGAAGAACAGAAGACTGGAGTTGTACTGGAAACTACAGTATTTACCTGTGAATTATGGTGAATAGGTCCTCTGTTGTTTGAGATTGGGACTTGTAAAGAAACACATCGTCTTCCTCTCCTACCAGTTGTAGAGGTCCAAGGTCAGGCGTTCGGTCCCTCTTCTCTACATCATAAGTTGGATGATCTGTTGACATTAAGAATCGGATATTATGAGCCTTGGAGACAGTAATTATTGATTATGGTATATAGCAGTTTCACAAACCAAAAGATAAAATTCTTGCCTATTACAGTTCTCTTACCTGGTGCATTTGAGTGCTGTTGCTCAATGACCATAGGGTAAGATGGAATGACACCATATAGGGTCACATGATATTGACTTGCAGAGATTGGAGACTTCGGAGACTTGCAGAGTTTATTTGGAGACTGGGCATCGTCTGAGCTTTTCTGAGCAGCTGAGTTATAATAAAGTGAATTGTCCACAGCTGGTGTCTTTGTCAGAGGCAGTGGTGGGGCTCTTCTCTTCTTATGAAGTTCATATTGGTTAGAACAGGTGGTTGTGTTGAAGGGGAGCACATTTGGATTCTGTGGTTCAAAAGTGCATGGGGGTTGTGGCAGATGGGACTCTCTCATCGGCTGTGGAGAATGTCCTTCCAAAAAGTAGCAGTCCTTCCGCTGCCTCTGATGATGTGCTCGTTCAGTACTTTGTGATGGTACAGTCACTGTGGGTTTTGCTTTGCTAATCATTGCGTAAATGTCTTCTGGTCTCTCACTGGCTGTGACCGTTGGCGGTTCTGGATCAGAAGCCGTTCCAAAACGTGGCTGTACCATGGCATTGGGTGGCCATTTACTTCTCTGGGGCTTGGGAGCCACTGGAGGTTTGGCTTTTTGGTTGTTTGTGGGGCTTAAAGAGCTTCCACCCCTTTCAGTCTCCTCCTCGATAACGTCCGTTGTAGTTTCCTGTGCATTCTCAAGATCGGAGCTGCTGACCGAGCGCAAATGCACGTTGTTCAGGTCCTCCTGAGTAATCACGGGCATGATCAACAAACTGTTACTCATCCTTTGCTTGGGTCTGGTGGCTTCGGTGCTGTCCGAGTAGCGGCGGTTTGCTGTTGGCTGAACCGGTTCTGGATCAGGAGTGTGCTGCTGAAGTTCAGGAAGCTGAAGAGATAGCCTTGCATTGCAGTTTCTTGCCCTTTGGCCAGGAATAACACTGGAAGGCTTATGGCGCATTCTGCAGCCCAGTTGAGAAGGTCCCGCGGTAACTGAGGACAGGACTGATTGAGTGGGTGTTTCGCATTGGCTTGCATAGCCACTCGATGGAGAGTTCGACCCGAAGCATTTGGAAGGAGAAGAGATGGAAGGCTGGGAGGGCGAGGAGTGGGAAGAAGATGGGGATGTGTTTATTTCAGAATTACCTTCGTTTATCGGAGTTTCTCCAGAGGGGCCCAAGCCCGACTTGCATGGTTCACTGGATCGAAGCTCATTTAGTGCTCGGTGAGAAGAGACAGATGTCTTCAGTGCCACTAAGCCAGGTGCTTCAGCTGTGGGAGTTGGTTTCTTGCACTTAGCAACTTCTTGCTTTGAGGTTGGAATGAGATCTGGCAGTATCATTATGCTTTGGGCGTCTTTTTTCAGATGAAGCCCCTGTAATTTGTGTTCTGAATTCTTCTCCGCCGCGAGCCTTTGCAATGATACTGTTCGCACAGGTGGAGCCGGTTTCCTTTTGGCCTTCTTGAGGACAATGCTTCGGGACCTAGATCGCGGCACTGCATCCGGGAGTCGATCTCCCCTCCTGACAGAGGTGCTGTCGCTGCCGCTGTCCTCTGAGCTGCTGCTGGGATATGAAAGTGCATAGCTTTCGCACCGGCGCCGGGCCACACCTGGGTTGGTATTGACAGTGGTGGAAAGTGACAAGGAGCGTCTGTGGAGCTCTATGTTACTGGTTGGTCTACTCCTACGCTCATTCCTCATGGAACTCACGCAATCTTTATCTCGTCTTATCACGGCAGCGGAGTTAGTGGGTGATGCCTGGCTTGGCTCCTCTGGATCCTGGAACTGTGGAGGGGGTTTGATCACATCAGGTGCCATCAGAAAGGAGTTCACGTTATCATCCCACTTGGATGAAAAGGTGGAAACGTTCGGGCCGCACCAGCCGCCTTGGGCAGAACAAACCAAGGTTGTGTTTTCCATCTTTGATTTTAGTTCAGCACTTTCCCATGAATCTGTTGCAGAGATATTCCATTAGCTCCTTCAAGCTGTTCCTGTGGCAACAGAAAGAATAATTCATTGCAGGGCTGTGATGTTACAACATAAAGGCAAATACTCAATTTGCCTTTTCCACTCATGGGTGACATCACTGTCCAAATGCTTTAAACAGAGTGGACTAAAAAGTGTGGAAGAGAAAATCTGCCCATCTTGGTCTTTGTTTGGCACATGAGTGGGTGTTTGCCATGGCAACAGTTACCTGTTAATCCATATAGAGACAGAAAGCAGACTCAAGAGGAATCTCAACTGTATTTCCACATGCATTTATCACGAGTGACAATGGACAACAGAATGCTATTCAAAATGAGAAGCATGATTGCTTTGATGAAGTTACTATATACCAAAGCTAACTTTTTTGTATAATACATACTGTAGGGATACACCATGTTATTTTATTGAACAGCAGGGGCCATTAATGCTCAGATGAGGGTTAAAAGGCCAAAACTTCTTTAGAGTGATAAGAAACAGGCTGGCCTTTACAATTTCTGTTGTAAGTAAAAGAAAATAAAATCTGTGCTTTACCAGTCTTGGAAATAAAACTGGGCATTTAAAGTTAAGTGATTTTGTGAATTCCATTTGTTTTATATCTTCCCCTCAATCTTGTGCAGCCCAAGGGCCTTGGACAAAAAGAACATACTCATTATTAATATAATATTAATTAAGTGATGATGTCACACTACACCACACCTAACAAAAACAGAATGATCGCTCAGAATATCTGCACTCTGCTCATACCTTTCAAAATAAGCTGACATGATTATTCAAAACTGAAGCCCATTTATCCATCTAAAAAATGTTCAAATTGTGTCACAGACAGCCGAACGCAGCATACGCATCATGCAAGTACTATGTGAATGCATTCGTTATATTCACTTAAAACAGAGTCAGGACAATACTAACTATATTTAAAAATGCAAAGACATCTTTAAAATGTCTCAGATACAGTATATCTAAGAGAAGTATCTGTAAGAAATAGGAATAGAAAATACAAAGAATGAATCTAAAATCGAAGCATATTGCTATTCCAACCTATATTTATGATGGTTTTGCAATTAAATGAGACATGTAGAGTGTCCCAAGCTTCTTGCTGAGAAGGACGCCATCAACCTGATGCTCGCTCTGAAAATGATACCAAATGTTTACACCTGCTTTTCTATTACTCAGACCTCAACAACCTGTCGCTCTGCGTTTATAATAAATGACCAGTGGTTGACATGAAAGTTGTCATGAGTGCTATTACCAAAGGAATCTTTCAGATCAACAAAACACTGAAGAAGCACACATCTTGCTACTCACATGCTCTTGCGTGTGCATTGTGACATTGCTGCTTACGGCCAGAAATATGTATGTTTTGTAACCATATTGACGTGCATGACACCCATGACAGGTTGGAAAAAATATGAGGCCAAATGAACCCGTTTTAGAAACTGCAAAGTTGCACGGCCAAAGTCAGAGGTCACTTTGCCAAAATACACAATATTGCTGCAGAGGACAAACGTCACAGACAAAGGCATGAAATCAACAAACCTTTAAATGCAGTAAAGGACATTTCCCAGTGATCTGAGGATGTCAAACCCAATCGTCCTCAAAATATCAAATTTTTTCCCCTTCGTCTTACCTTTCATTTGCTCTGGAGACCGAGCCGTGCCATGTGATGCTGTTCCCACTCTATCGCTGTGTCTCTCTAGCTCACTGCTCTGGCTCAACACATTCACATGCTGTTACCATGACGATAGGAAGTGGGCTGCTTGCTTCCTTTCCGAGTTCAAGTTCGTTGAATGCTGAGTGAGGAGAGAGAGAAAGAGAGAGAGAGAGAGAGAGAGAGAGAGAGAGAGAGAGAGAGACATATTATATAAACACCAAATCCTCAGAGACACTGGAAAATTCACTGTGCTGCTTGTCAAAAAACAGCTACATACCCAGCCATAAGTCAGAATCCACAATGCAAGCAGATTCTCATCCAAAATGGAATTTCAATAAAATCCACTGTAACCTATATTAGATCATTGATCATACTGTATGTTAGCTATGCCTGTATGGATTAGCAATTACTCTGATAATCAGATGGGGTGCATTAACATAGAAACAGTGATCTCATAGTTGATATTAAGAATAATGTTATGTAACATTGAGTCTAAGCAAACGAATAGAATCAATGCACCAACTGTTTCGATAAAACCGATTGTCCTCACTTTGTGCAGCATTGCAGTATGGTATGAAAACAACTAAAAACGATCGCAGTCACAGTGATGCTTCTCATGCATATCACTGCAGGTGTAGTTGTCACAACTGAGCGAGTGAGACTTGAAGTCAGATCCACCCATTTCCAGGAACACTGCGAAACAGGCATTAACCATTGTTCTGCATTTTCCACATTTCAACAACAGAGGTGGTGTGAGTGCATGTTTGAAGAGGTGTGAAATATATAATAATTTCGTATTACACAACTCGGTTGCATAACAAGCCCATTTGATCGTAAAACTTCATGTGGTAATACTCAGTGTAGCCTTGCACTCAACAGCATGAGTGAACTTAGACTAGGAGTGCTTGAGGATGTTTTACTATTAGTACAGAGGGTCAAATGGGGTGATGTATAATCATAGAGGGTAACCGTTGCTGTAATCACAGATGCCTCATCCAGTTAGATTTATAAAATCATGCAAGGAGATCCTAGAAAAGAATTCAGATGCAGCCGATTGAACTGCAAGCTTAGTTCTTAAGTGTTGAGTGATGAGGTGCACGTGTGTCTTTTGTTTCAATTCTTGCAAATGCTGTAGCCAAATACTGTTTATTCTCTGTGCAGTCCATCCTAAGACTGAGATGAAGCCGGCAGTGGTCAGTTTGTGCCTGATGGAGAAGTCCGTCATAAGGCTGAGGTGTAGGCGAGTGAAGTCCATCGTGGAAGGTGCAAACATTGATTGCTTGTGCGGGAAGTAATGCATTACTCCATAAAAAGTAACTAATTGCATTACTTAGTTACTTTTTATGGAAAGTAATGCGCCTACGTATTTTTGCGTTACTTTTTCTCATCTGGGCTGGGCTTGTTTGTTTTTAATATAAAAAAGTTCTATTTGTGGCGTATATGTAAAAGCCCTTTCACACCAAAAGTGAAAGGAAATGTTTTTTTTTCCCTCCAGCAGTTCAGTTTCAGTGCATGTCCTCACTCATGGGTGCTGTCCCATAGTTGACATCATTTTTCTAAAAATTGTCACCAAAGCCACAAACAAAACAAGAGACACTCCCTTCAAATAGAGGAAGCACATTTGCTCAAGCGGACAGTGACAGAAAACTCAAAGCTTGGTTTCTAGATTGCGCAAAGATTAAATTAAACTAATGACCAAAGTCAAGAAGGCACCTGGGGAGGATCCGAAACCACACAATATAAGGACTACACCCAAAAACATGCAGCTCCATTATTCAGAATGAGATTTTTTTAGCTTACACTAAAGGAATACAACCTGAATGATTTTCAGATGATCTGTGCCAATTACAAAATTTCAGTTAGATAAAAAGTTCAAAATGCAACAGACATTTCGAAGAAAGATTGAAACAACCACTTCAAATTACATTCAGAACTAAATTTGGACATTTCCATAGCCATGCAATTTTTAAAAAATGTTTTGTTACGCCACTACAGACTCAACTCAAGTATTTAAACGTTATTTTATCGGTTGTTCCATATTCAGTGATTGTTGTAAAAGAATTTTAAGAATCTTTTTTTTTTTTTTGCAGATATCCATGTAATATTCTCAGCACAGGAAATTGTTTAATCATATAAATATATTTTAAAGATCATTTTAAGAGATGTTATGCTACATTGCTGTATGCAATACTATCTGTATGGATATAAAACAACTACAACTAATACAGCTATTTTATCTCTACACAGTAACTTGTTTGACGGGTAACATAGTTGACAATTTCTTAATTTTGACTTTTGACAATTTCAGTGGAGAGCCTTGGCCAACCACATGTTATTTTCTTGATCAGTTTAAACTCAAATTTCAATACATATTTAAATTAAAATCATAAAAATATTGCAATCCATGAGTATGTAAGATCATGACAATGGGTTATTGTAGATAAAATGGTTGCATGTTGTTGTGAGAAACTATTTTTTATTTGTTTGGTCAGTAACTTAGTTGACAGAACTGTCGTACATGAGCAAAATAAAATATTTTCTTAATTGAAATCTAATCTAATCTAAAAAAAATATATTTTTCTGACACATTTATAATTCAAAAATACATTTAATATAGATAATATGATTATTTTGGTCTCAAGACCAATTCACTTCAAAAAAAGGACACTGCAAAAATAATTTAACTTCAAGCAAACTGAAACATAGCGTGCACAAACAATTTGTGTGAGATTAAAATATGCTGTCCCTTAATGTATAAAATATGATATTTCTGAAGTAGATTGTTAGAAAATATATAATCATCATCAAGGGACGTGACATGTGCCCTAAACTGAATGACTTTTCTACATCTTTACGGCGTTTTTGTTTTTTATTTATTTATTTTTGTTGCCATGACACCAAAGTGTTATTAATGTGGTTGTTAGGGTGTTAGAAGTGTTTTTGATGGTTTGAGTGTTTGCTTACTAGTCAAAGTCAAATGTCAGCCTCCAAGTGTCTATGACATTCTGGGCTAGGAGACTCTTGAAGATGGGTTTGATTGCAAGTTTTTATAGTTATAGTTGTTTGCTTATAAACACTTATTGTTCAGACAAGTGGGCAAAACATGTCTGTTTTAATACAATTTATTTTAATATTCAGTGTACTCACATATGCATTAAAATTCCTGCTGTAGATGTGAATCAGTAACTGGGACACATTTGGTATCTATTTGTTTTGTGATAAATCTGGAACAGATAGCCAGTCACGGATGAGCCATAGAGATGCCTGCTTTCAGACTTTCATTATTTAATGTAACAAACTGAAAGGAATATTTTCACCCAAAAATTAACATTTGCTGAACATTTACTGACCCTTAGGCCATCAAAAATGTAGTTTTGTTTCTTCAAAATGTAGCATTGCATCACTTGCTCACCAGTGGATCCTCTGCAGTGAATGGGTGCCGTCAGAATGAGAGTCCAAACAGCTGATAAAAACATCACAATAATCCACAAGTAATCCACACCACTCCAGTCCATCAGTTAATGTCTTGAGAAGACAAAAGCTGCGTGTTTGTAAGAAATAAATCCACCATTTTAAATTGAAACGGTTGCCCTCTCACATCAAAATCCACCCACATATTTGTTTTTGGACTATTTTCACTTGTAAATGGTGTTTGTTCTATGCATATTTCTCTCCTGATTCAGACAAGATGACTTTTCCAATGGAGAAAGCAATGTTATGGATTATAGATATGTTGGACTGGAAGTAACAGCTTGAAGTTAAAAACATCTTTATGATGGATTTGTTTCTTACAAACACACAGCTTTTGGCTTGGTGTTGTTGATCACTTGTGGATTATTGTGATGTTTTTATCAGCTGTTTGGACTCTCATTCTGACGGCACCCATTCACTGCTACATCTTGGATGTGCATTTTCAGCAAATTTTAATTTTTGAGTGAACTGCTCCTTTAAAAAAATGACTGAAATGGTGAGGATTCAAGCTGAAATATCAAGTTTTTCTTTAAGACGGAGAGAGTGATTCAGCAGCCAGTGGGAAATCTATGACAGACCGAGCTATATCAGATATAAACTCAGTGACTAAAAGACAAACATTATTTTTTACTTGGGTCCGGAGACTGGCGTGTGATCGCCTTGAATTGTAGGATATTCTCAGCTGGATTAATTCTGCTCCCAATTTCCTCTTTGGGAAATGTGAAATCTATTAATATCTATAAAAGGAATACCAAAAATATTCATTTGGTACTCCAAATGAATGCTTGAGATGATATATCATGACAAAACTGACGATGTCGATAAAACGTGAAACGAGGGCAAAATTGCATCAGTGTGCAGTTGATGTTGTTTTTATTTATTTATTTTTTAAATATTTGTAAACAATTTTAATGTCCTTTAATGTGACCAGCCAAAATGATAATAAAGGCTTTTAACCCTTTGTAGAAGAAGAAGTACCTTCTTTCTAATGTTTAAAGTGTGAAGCGACTTTGCCTTGAAGGTGTAGGCTACGTTCATGCCTTCCCTGGAAGTCAAAGTCATATCTTCTTCAAAAAGTCTGTTGATAGTGCCATTATCTACTGTTTGGGCTACAGGAACGCTTTCCTATTGTAATTGATTGATCATGACGATGTATATATAATATACTATAGTAGATGAATTCATTCTAAATGTCGCTGACAAATAAAAAGAAGCCACTAGGATCACATTTGCATCATCAGAGGGCCCTTGTTATTGTTGAATGTGAGTTTGCTGCCATCTGGCGTCAACTCCATCAACTACAATCAGCACCATGGCCAGCACCAGCACATGAAAGCTTTTGAGTAAACATCTATTATTTTAAATATAATTTCAGGATTAATAAATATTACTTATTGGCCTGCCTTACGCGGAGCAGCTTTTAGATTGTTGTCCATTTATTTATAAAAAAAAAAAAATCATTAAATTCTGCTAATGTTCTATGTCTATGGAAATATTCTGTAGTAGCTCCACTATCTAATGTGTTTACAATGGTGTGATCATTCTTTTTTCAATAGTCTATTAATGTTCTCAA